AACCATTTAACAAAAAAAAAAATTACGAATATTTTAGTGCCGAATTAAAAAAGTTACTTTTGATTTGATGAAATTTTCTAATAATTGATTACATTATCATTTAAACGATACCGTTACCCCCCCTCTCTCTCTCTCTTTTGCCGAAAAATTATTACATTTAAAAGGGAGAAAATAAATTTTCCCCCTTTTTCGAATCCCCCCCCCCCCATTAGATTTCTTCCTTATTTTTGCCAAGGACTTTTTTTTTTTAACAAATTGGCACAATATCGAAGGTTTTTGACAAACGCCTATAAAAATTTGTCCTTTTTTTTTTTTTTTTTGTCTTTTCGAACGTACCTTAAAAAAGTTTTTTTACTTTATTTTTCCCTGTTTTCTACTTGTCTCCCACCAATGTAATTAAGAATGAAATTACGTTTTTCCTTTGACGAAAAAGTTTAGTTATAATTAATTGTTTTTGACTCGAATCGAGTGGGAGTCCGTCTTAAATGAAACCTCAACAAAAAAAAAAAAAAAGAAAAAAAAAAAAGAAAAAGAAACCTCGAAAAAATTTTTTGCAGACGATGAAAGAAAGAAAATTTCAAAGGAAAAAGCCAAAAATTGTAGGCGTTTAAAATTAAAAAAAAAAATTCATTATCCTACGAAGGACGTATAATAATAATAATAAAAAGAAAAAATAAATAAAAGAAAATCTCTTTCTCTCTCTCTCTCTCTCTCTAACTCTTTTTAAAACTAATTCGGATTATCGTTAAGCCCCCCCCTCCCCTTTGAAAAATGTAAGACGCAGATTTAAATAATGAATGGGGAGTTCGTGAAGTAGTAAAACGATGAGGGTAGGAAAATAAAAATTAAATTTGACCTCAACCTTGACGAAACTTTTTTTCCTTAAATAAACGCATCGATCAATTTTTAACGATTTTTTTCATTTTTCCAAACAAATTTTTCGAAAAAATATTCGAATTTTCATTTTTCCCGCCCATTTTCTACCTCTCCCCCCATTTCCCGCCCCTCCCGGATACCTTTAACTCCCTTTTACCAAAAGAAAACAAAAAATTTTGTCTTGATTAAAGGAAACATCGATTGTTGTTATCACACCAAATTGAATTTTCGAAAAGAAAGACGAAAACGGAAACGGATACACACACGCACACACCGGAAACGATCACCAATTAATCGATTGAGAAAAAAAGAAAAGAAAAAAAAAAAATGAAAAAAGACAAAGAATAATTTCGCAAACATTTTTTTTTTTTTTTTCCCGGTTGTCAATAATATACCTGCGTCAAAGGTGGGGTGGAAGGAAAGATTACAAATCCGTTCTCATTAATAAATAATGATAATAATAATAATAATAATGATAACGATCACATTAAAATGTGACGACAAATAATACGATTCGTTCTTATCGATAATTAAAAGAATTTTAATCCTTCGAATCAGTAAAAACGTTTTTAAGTTAATCAATCAATCGATCGATCAATCAATCAATCAATCAATCAGTCATCATCGTCATCATTTCAATAGCTGCTCAATGTGATATGAGAGAGAGAGAGAGAGAGAGAGAGAGTGCGTGTAATTATTATGAATGGCCTAAACTTGATTCGGATAATTAAAAATTTAAACACTCGATAAATTTCAACTTGAAAAAAAAAAACAAATTATTTGGGGGGGGGTGGCGGTGGTGGTAGTAAGGGAGGAAGGTGCGGACGAGGACGAAAAAAGGTCGGAGAAGATGAGAAATCCTTCCTTTCAACGAAATTTTTTCATCATCACCGAAAAACGTTTTTAACTTCCCCCCCCCCCAAAAAAAAAAAATCGATTTAAACGTGATTTAAAAAATCGATAAATCGAACGATCTATCGATCTATCGTTTCGTCTTACGTCATTAATAATTTATAGTTTTTTTTTTCTTTTTTTTTTTCGTTTCTTATTAGTAATTAAAAATAATTTTAATTCGAAATTAACGTCGATGATGATGATGATGATGATGATGATGACGACGATGACTATCGATAACGATCGCGAAAACGATAATAATAATAATATTATTGGCAAAAAGTTTTTGTATATTTGGCAAAAGACGTCAAAATCAAATCCAAACCGCACACGCAAACCCTCGCGTTCCCAGAAAATTCAAATTAAAAAAAAATTCACCTTTGTCAAATAAAATAAATTATTTATAAAAATTATACGACAAACAGACGACGGTAATTACTTGAAATAATCATCATCACCAGTAGTGATGAGATTGTTTGTTTGTTTGTTTGTTTGATTGTTTGATCGATCGATCGATCGATTTATCGTTTGATTGATATTGATGGTTTCGAATGCATTTTTTCACAAAAAAAAAAAAAAAAAAAAAATTTCGAATAAAACGAATTGAATAAGATTTTGTTGTTAATTGAATGACTAACAACTACAACAACAACAAACAACAACAACAACCAGACGAACGAAAGCGCGTTATTTTCACGTCATTTTCACGTCGTTTTTCTTTATTATTATTATTATTATTTATTTATTTTTTCTAAGTAAATTTCTGACATAATTCATTATCGGTTTTTTTTTTTTTTTTAAATATTCTCGTTTGTTTGTTTGTTTGTTTGTTTGTTAACAAAAAAAAAGTCTTGAACGTACCCGCTTTTTTTACGTACGTACGAACGATTTCATCCGAACGTTTTTCATCATTGAATTGACAATTTGAATTTTTCCTTGAATCTGACCTTTTAGTTTTTTTTTTTTTTTTTTTTATAGTCCTTATAACACTTATTGGAAAAACATTACGATATTATTATTATTATTATTATTATTATTAATTGTTGTTGTTATATTGTTTGTAGTGTAATATTATTCGCGGTATTTTATTAATAAGACATTACTCTAATTGATTTTTGGTGGACCGATCATTATTATTTTTCGGTGGGATTTTCGATCCGTTGGTTCCAAAATTTCGAGTTCCAGGTAGTTACGTCACGTGACTTTCCCGTTTCCTTAACCTTTTCTCCAGTCATTTTCGAAATAGTTTTACCCGATTATTAAGTAATATTTACCGATCGTTACTATTTGAATAAAAGTGAAAAAAAATAACCCGTCACCGTCGTTAGAAATGGAAAGTTTTTGTTTTTTGGGGGGGGGTGGGTGGGGTCGCGTCAATGTTTTCTTTGTTTTATCACAAAGCGTTAATCAAATTATGAAAAAGTTTTAAAATGATTTTTTTTGCCTTTTTTTTTCCGCCATTAAAAAAAAAAAAAAAATTATTTCGTAAAAAAGAAAAAACCTTGATGACAAACGACTGCATAACTTTTTTTTAGGCCCTTGACACGTCACATTGTAAAAAATACATCTTTTCATCTCCGCCACCCTCCCACTCGCCCCCATAATCCACGATAATAATAATAATAATAAATAAATAAATTGATTATACAAATCTAATTAAAATAATAGTAATAATAATAATAATAATAATAATTGATTAAATTTTTTTAACAAAGGTTATTTCGATTCGGTCGTTATTATTATTTTTTTTTTTTTTTTTTTACAATTCCCGCGGTAAAATATTACAAAAATTTATCATTATTATCGTTATTATTATTATTATTATTTGTTGTCGCACGTAATAAATTTTCGACAAGGGCATTTACGGTTTTTGTATGAAAAAAAAAAAAAAAAAACCAACAACCATCATCGTTATTATTATTATTCTCGTTCACTTTTTTACACGTTACGTTTTACGCGATACGAGGACGTGGAAAAATTTATTTTTTACTATGCATTCTTAATATTATTATCATTATCATTATTATCATCATCATCATCATCATCAACAACATTTTTTTTCGCGCTGTCGTTTCGATTACGTATTTAAAAAAAAAAATTCGTATTTGAATTTTACTTCTTATGCATCTCGAAACAACATTCGATATTATTATTATTATTATTATTATTATTATTATTATTCGAATAAATAACGAAGGAAATTCGTAAAAATCGATCGATATCGATTCCTTATTATTCACTACGTAATGATATGTAAAATTACGTAATTTATATTTAACGGAAAAAACTAAAAAAAAGGAAAACGAAAAACTTTAGAAAATCTTACGGAAAAAAAAAAAAAAAAAAAAAAAATTACTCAATACGTAAACTTTAAATTATTGAGAAATCAAAAAAAAGAGAGAGAGAGAGAGAGAGAGAGAGAGAGAAAGAAAAAGAGAAAGAGAGAGAGTGAGTGCGTGTGCGTGTGCGTGTGGAAAAAACCATTTCCGTCATTCGTCAAAAAAAAAAAAAATCCGCCATTTTGTCAACTTTGACCGTTATAATAAACTGACTCGTCGCGACCGGTTTCGCTAATCATCATTACACGGTTAGCTTACGTACGTTAATCGCACGTCGAGAAAAAAAAAATTTCGATTTAAAATCGAAAATCGATAATCGATAATCGATGTTATGATTATTTTAAGAAAAAAAATAATAATAATAATAATAAATTCGCGTAACTAATTATGTAAAAAAAAAAAAAAATTTAACGGAAAACGTCATAGTCGTCGCGCATGCGTTAAAAAACGCATGTGACGTCACAACGGTTTTTAAAACTTAACGTCAGTTGTCTTGCGTTTAAATTCAGATCTTGATTTGTTGCCGAAGTCGCGGCGTATACACACATTTTTGCCGGATTTTTTTTTTTCTGTCTTTTTTTTTTAAATAGAAATTTCGGCGAGATAATTTTAAAAAATAAAAAACGCGCGAAACGTGAATTTTTTTTTTTTTTTTTTTTATACACTCAACTTATATTAACGATAATAATAATAATAAATGTTCGGATATAAGTAAAACGATATTTGTGTTTACAAAAAAAAAAAAAAAAAACAAAAGTGCGTAAAAAAAACGTGCGTTAAAATAAATCGGTGATATAAAGGATTCATTTAAAAAAAAAAAAAACGCAAGTCAAAACTGGCCGTTAAAAATAACCAAAACGAAAATTAATAATAATAATAATAATAGTAAACATGTCCGTGCAAAGATTCGAACTCTATCAATTTTCCGCTGTTGAAATTTTTTTAAAATTATTAAAACGACGAATCGGTTATTACACGAAAAAAGTTCAACAGAGCGAAACGTGCGATCAAATGATTGGGCCTAACGAAAAATTTTCTTTGCGTTTGATTCGCAGCAAATTGAGGAAAAGAGAAGAAAATTCCGGGGTTCACAGATCGAACGTCGTTCATCCGGAAGGAGTTCTACAAGCGACCATCGTCGGCGGAAACGGATCCCCGCCGTCGCCGTCGCCGACGACGATAACGACTCCGACCAGAGGGGTGGAATACACGGGGGGTTCGGACAATGGAAAAATATCACCACTCGAAGACATATTCATTGCTCCGATATCGAATAGGAAAAGCGTAACAAGTTGCCATTCGGAAAATTCATATGCGAATTATTCAACGGACTCGACGCAATTACCAATGTTCCTCTACTCGACGGGAAATTCTAGAAATTCTATCAACAATACCGCCAGCAATGATCAGGTGAGTGAATTATTCTTTTTTTTTGTCTTCCTTCGACGACGACGACGACGACGACGACAACAACATTTGTAGCAATGAACTATGAACGCGAAAACATGTTCACCAGGTACACATTTTTAAATAAAAATGTTTTAGTGTTTAAAGGCAAAAAAAATTTTTTATTTTTTTTTTTTTGCCAGGTTCGCCATATTTTCTTTGTTATCAACGAATAGTTTTGCTGAATAAGTTGTATATTAAGCAAACAATTTTTTTTTCTTTTTTTTGTTTGTTTGATCACGCGGTTTCTTTGACAAGAAACGACATTAATCTTTGGCACACAATTACATCACTCAAACAAATTTTTTGTCGCTCAAGTGACACGTTAGATAGATGGCGAACCCCGTTCGAAACGCCACGCGCAAACGTGAATAATGGGATTAAAGTCGATGGTTGTTGTGATTGTTGGTCGAAAACAACAAACGCAGGTCGATGAGTGACGGTTATAGGTCTCTCACGGGTTTTGTTTGTCCATAGTCGTTTGTCTCGATATACAACAACAACAACAACAACAGCCGACGACGACGTATTCATTCGTTCCAATTTATTTTTAAACTTTTTTCTTTCTTTCCTTTGTTCGATCCGGTCGACCCTTTGATATAGGAAAAAATTATGTAAATCCAATCGTTTTGTAATAATAATAATAATAATGTTGTCACCTTTGCCCCTGAATTATTGTAGTTTTTATAATCTGATTCATTATCAGGGCTGTACCTGTTATACTGCTTTACCGCTACAACCACCACCACCACCACTACCACTTCTTCTTCTCCTTCTTCTTCTAGTATGCTCGCTTCATGTTTTTCAATTTAAAATTTCTTTCTCCTCTTTCTTTTATCCTTGTTTCCCTTTGTTGGACTTTCTTCTTCTTGTTGTTGCTTTTTTGTCGTAATCATTGAATGAATGAAATTGTTGCGTGCGAGCGCGTGGATTTTTATCATTATTATTATTATCGATCATAACTTTATATTTATTTATTGGAGATTTTTTTTTTTCGTGGGGTGGCTCATCTTCATCATCATCATCATTTAAAATTTTTTTCTTTTTTCAAAAGTATTTCCAAACATGTGGTACGAACGTGCTTCTGATTCCTTTTAACGACTTAAGTTTTTTTTATACGTTCCGGAAACAAAAGAAACCAAATAAAACGATTCGAAGTACGAGGAGACGATTCCTTATACCTGATACACGAATTTTTTTTTTTCTCTCCATTTTTCACATCTTCATGTTTTTTCTATTCCCCTTCCTCCCCCTCCCTCCGAAATAAGCAAAAACGAGTAATTTCAATTCTTGTCGGTAAAAGGAAAAGAACGTACAAAAATAATAATAATAAGAATAATAATAATAATCAGGCTTCGATCGATTTAAAAGTAGGATAAGAAAACCTGAAATGGAGGAAACGAAAATAATAATAATAATAATAATAATAATAAATTTCTTAGGTAATTCGTAATTCAAAACAATAAACAAAAAATTAATTGTAAATAAAAATCGTATATAAAAAATTTGTAATTCTTTTATAGTTTTGTCAAGTTGGCACCATTGAATTTTCCACGACCACCACCACCATCACTAACTCATCCCGTTTTTTTTTTTTTTTTTTAACGCGAAGGGAAAAGATTAAGGGGGAAGGGAGGAAAGGGAAAAACCGATTCGAATTCCAGTTCATTAAAAAAATTTTCAGTTTTTTTTTTTTTTTTTTTTTTGGATTTTCCGACGGTACCCTTGTTAACTAATTAAATGTAATTTTGAAAAAAAAAAAAGAAAAGAAAAACTGGTAATTTTGCCCCTGAAATTTATCTCCGAGAAAAAAAAAAATTTTTTTACTACAAAACGACCAACCCTGAATATAATTTTCTCTCTCTCTCTCTCTCTCTCTCTCCCTTTATTATCATTTATTCCAGCTTAGTTGCTAAGGTCAAAAGTCTAGGAAATAATTTCTCGCCAGAATGAGAGAGAGAGAGAGAGGTAGAATCCAGGCGCCAGAAAAAAGCAAGAGAGAAAGAGACAGACAAAACCTTGGTTTTTCTTAATTTGACCTTTTCACGAAACAGGTAGTCGATATTTAATTTTAATTTTATATTTTAATTTTTTTTTTTTTGGCGCCCAAACGTGTTTGAGTTTAAATTAGACGGGTAAAAATATCTTAAATCTGACTATAGAGAAGTCATTAACGTCGATTAAATTAAAATAAAATTTAAATTAATTAAATTCCGCGTTTTTTTTTTTTTTTTGTCTTGTGACACGTTGTCCCGATGTCGATGAGTAGTAGTAAAACTCGAAAATAATCAACATATTTAACGTTTTTTCATCGTTTCCCCTTGTTCCCTACCCCCCCAAGTCCTCTTTTCTTTTGCCTTTCTTAACTCCCTCCCCACCTTTCTCCCCCTTTACCTCCCCTTTTGTTCTCAAGTCACGTGAAAATTTCTACCGAAAATCCTCGTGAATTTATTCGATCGCGTTTGGAGAAAGCTTGACGAAAATGTTTAGTTATTATTATTATTATTATTATTCTCGATTTTTTACATCGACCGAAATAAATGAATGAATGAATGAATGAATGAATGTGTGAATGAATTTGCAAAAACTTTTCATTTTCGAAAAAATTATGACGATCGAATGGGAGTGACGTCATCATGGGACAAACTATTTTTTTTTGTTGTTTAATTTTTAGGTTACGAATTAATTAAAATTCTAGACAAAAACGTGACGTACGCGATTCGATTTTTTTGCTGTTGATGCTTTCGGTTGTCTTTGTTGCCCCCCCCTCCCCCCAACAACGCGAAATATTTAAATGAATCAATCACCCAAATCGCTCGAAACCTTTTTGGGGCGGGTGGGGGGCGGGGAGAGAGAGAGAGAGAAAGAATTTCAAAGATTTGCGGGAAATTTATCTGGTTTTTAGAGGTTTCACGCGGTTCCTTTCCAGGTTTCGCGATAAAACTTTACGAAAAAAAATTCTTATCAAAAGTACAAATTTACAAATGGATTTGTGCCACGTCGATACATCATTTACGACGAACAAACCGGTTTAAAACGAATAATAATAATTACCGCTAACCGGTTAGTAAATGTTTGTGCATTGATAACAAAGATAAGATCGAAAATTCGTTTTAAAAACGAGAAAAATTTTCCAGAACGCGACGAGATGGTTTTTTTTTTTTTTTTTTTTCATTTTTCTTGGAAATTCGGTTGAAATCGGCCTACGGGAAAATTCATTCGTGTCATGGACGATTCGTCGTTTATGCCACGTTAAAAAAAACTCGTGGCAAAAAAATAAAAAGAAGACGAATATCGACGGAAGATGTTAACGAAAAAAATATATATATACGAAAAAACAAATATTAACTTCGGTGGGGGGTGAACAAATGGATCGATACATCGAAAGATTTCATTTAAAAAAAAATTCGTTATCGAAAGTTTTTTTTTTTTCTAGTTTCACGACACACGACGACGCAAACGATTCAAGGTTAGAAAATAAGTAATTAAATTCAAAAAAAAAAAAAAAAAAAAAAAAAAAAAAAAAAAAAACTTTAAACTGGTTCAGGCACATTATTCCGGGTTTAAAAAAAAAAAAAAAAAAACTCTCTCTCTCTCTTCCCCTTGTAACAAACGAACAAACAAACAAACAAACAAACAAAAAAAATCAAACGATAAATAAATTTCTATTTCCTATCCCGATTTATTTTTAGTTTGGAAATTCAGAAATCGATTTTTTTTTTTTTTTTTTTGAAAATGAATATAATGGAAATATATGAGCATAGTTCAATGCTACCAACTGTTTTTTTTTTAAAAAAATAGAAAATCAAAAGTAAACGTCCTCGACGGTAGTGGTGGTTTTTAATATTAACATTTAAAATTTTTTTTTTTTTTTTTCGTTTAAGGATGTATTGGTTCACCCGTTTGGGCCATCGGAAGATCTAGAATATAATAATAATAATAGTTGTACGACGAACAATAACAACAACAACAACAACAATCTGAATAGCAAAGACGAAATCGGTGGAAATAAGAAAAATATAAAAGGAAAATTGAAAAAATTAGTCAGAAGAAAATCTCCTCCGTCGGAAAATTACGCTCTCCCAATCGAACTCAGGGAACAACTCAAACAAATATACGTTTATTAAAAAAAAAATTTTTTTTTTTTTTTTGTATTCATCACCCCTATCGTATCGATATAAAATCGATCGAGAATCGAATCAAACGTTCGATCGATCGCACGACGACGGTGACGACGACGACGACGACGACGTGTTACAATAGTTACGATCGATTAATTTTTCAAGGAGGAAAAACGAAATGAAAATAAAAAGAAATTGTTGTTAAAAAAAAAAAAAAAAAAAAGAAAGAAAGAACGAGATGATGAAGATGATGATAATGATAATGATTCGAGTCTGATTTAAAAAGAAGAAAGAAGAAAGAAGAAAGAAGAGGAAGTCCAAAAAAAAAAAAAGAAAAACCAAAAAACCGACATTTTTTTTTTTACGTTGGCAGCGCTAGTCCGAGAAAGAAAAAAAAAACATTTTGACAATTTTTATCAATTATCAGTTCGCGCGAATTTTTTTTTTTTAAATTCCCTTCACCTTTAACCTTTCCCCCTTATTTCCTTCCCCCTTCTCCTTTTTTTCCCCTTCCCCTACCCTCAAAAAAAGACAATAATTATTTAACGTAAAAAAAAATTTTTTAATTTATTTATTATCGATATACTATTATTATTATTATTATTATTAATGTTATTTAAAAAAAAAAAAAAAAACGAAACGCGCGTTTGATTATTATTATTATTATTACTACCACGTGAATCGGATTTGTTGCTCTGTTCAAATTGGGCCTTGAACAAAAAAAAAAAAAAAAAACGCGCGTTTTTCTTTTTTTGATTCGGTCGGTGGTGCGACAAACGTTCAATTTTTTTCCACGGTTGTTTCTTCTAAATCCTATCATAAAAAAATTTAATAAGGAACAAAATGAGAGAGAAAGTGAGATAGAAAGAAAACGAAAAATAAAGAAAGAGTGCGAGTGAGAGTGAGAGAGAAAGAGGAAAAGAAAAAAGAAAACTTTTTATTGTTACCTTATGAACACAAAATTCGATAAAAGAAAATTTGTTTGTTTGTTTGTTTTATAATAGACACATTTTTCTTCTCGAAATATATCAAAATCTATCATTCGTTATTATTAT